GTCAATAACTCAAATTAAAGTTCTATATTAGAAGGTCCCGAGGCCATCTTCTTTTCAGACGCCACGGAGGGTTATCAGAGATCGAGGAGGAAGCAAGATTAGAAACGAGAGAGTTTTGATGGTTCTGAAGTTTGTTATGGAAGGATGGGTATCTGGATTGGGCCAGGTCAGAAACATAAGGAACATGAAGATCGTTATGGATGATTTTATTTGTGACATAGTAATGAGAATTGAGAATTTTACGAAGGATTTCGGATTGTAAGGATTGGATACGAGAGGAATTCGATGGCTTAGGGGAGCCCCAAAGCTCAACCTCGTAAGTTCAAATAAGGTCTTATTGTAGTCATGTATATGAGTCTTTTGTAATTAACTGGAAGCTTAGAGCGTTTGTCTAGTAAGTAGTAGTGGAGTAGTCGGAAACGTCGATAGGTTTCTTGTCAAATCATTTTTAAAGAATTAAATTGAAGTAAAATGCGTGGAAAATGCATAGTTATTTATTTAATTATTTAATGTCAAAAGAAAATTTAATATATATAATTTAATAATAATAATGATCTGTAAACATTTATCCAATTCATTCACATTTTCAATTCTTTGAAAAACCCACAGTATACTTGAAACCAGTTAATACAAAACGCCATATAGGAATTTATTACCTTTTCGTCTGAACCGAGCTTTTGTGAAAAAAGAATTACAAAAAGCCGTTCTTCCAAAGAACTTTATAGAACCCTAAGGGTATATTTTAATTAATTTAATTACATTACATTCATTCATCTTTTACTAACGTTAATTCTGAGAAATACTGACGTATCAACCAGTTGTAACCGGTTCTCATAAGTTTCTGAGAAAGATACCTCATTTGGTTTAATTAATTTAAATTAAAGTAGATTTTTTCAGATTTAATTTCAAAAATAATTATTTGAAGTTCCTTTTTTGTTATTTTCCTTTTTGAAGTCTTTGTTAAAAACCCCCCTCTACTCCTACACATGCGGTATTGGTCTCCAACACCTCCACTTGGCGCATGGTATTGAGCACCAGTCCCATCTTCGTTGTTTACCAGCGATGTTTCACTCTGGATAAGGCTTTTGTGAGGACATCAGCCACAACAAATTCAGTGGATTCATGTAGCACCGAAACTTGTCCATTCTTCACAGCTTCTCCAACAAAATGATGGTGCACGTCGATGTGTTTGGTTCTGCTATGGTGAGTCGAGTTTTTGGTGAGGTCAACTGTTCTCTTGTAGTCACATTTGATGTTGATTGTCATGTCAGGTTTCAATTCGCCAAGCTCAACGAGTACCATCCTCAGCCACAGAGCTTCCTGATTCGTACCACATGTACCTCTGTATTAGATCGGACTACAGTTGTTTTGCTTCTTTTTGACCAGCTAACAGCTCCTGATGAAAGCATAAACACGTATCCAGTAACAGATATGCGCTCCATTTGGTCATAGGCAAAATCTGAGTCTGCATATCCATGAATCGGATTCTCGGATTTTCTGAACACAAGCCTTCCACCGCTGGTTTCTTAAAGATACCGAAAAATTCTCTTTAGATACAACCAGTGTGTAATTTTCGGGTTTGAGTTGAATCTGCTAAGTACCCCCACTGCAAAAGATAAATCTGGTCTTGCGCAGTTGGCAGCATACATCAGTGATCCAACCGCAGTTCGATAAGGTACATCAGCATCCTCAGAATCTTTATTCTTCATAAGCTTCAGACCAAATTCCATTGGAGTTCCCTTTGGTTTACAATCCGATATGTCAAACCTTTTAAGAATTGTTTGTATGTATTTATTTCGGTTGATGCTGATGGCCCCGGTAGTTGGATCTCTTTAAATGTGCATCCTCATGCAGTAACTTTCTTGTCCGAGATCTTTCATTTCTAATGTTCTCATCAAGTCGTTCTTGACTCTAATCTTTAGATCATTATTATTAGTAAAGATCATAATATCATCGACATACAACACAAGTATGGAAAAAAAGTCCTCATCGAATGTATAGAAAACACAAGGATTGAATAGAGCCTTTTGAAGTCCAAGTTTTGTGATCACTGACTCAAACTTCTCATACCATAGTCGGCTGGCTTGGTTCAGGCCGTACACTGACTTTTTCAGTCTGCAAACTTTGTTAAATTCAGTCTTTATTTTACCATCCTCTATCATCTATGGATGATATATATATAGACCTCTTCGTTTAGTCCCGGCTGAAGAAAGGGGGTGATAGCGTCCATCTGTCCACGAATGCGATGCAGCTAGGTCAAGCAAGATTCGTAAAGTGGTCCTGGTGAAAACGTTATCCTTATTACTGGTAAGAACGTTTCTTCGTCATCTAGACCATAGATTTGAGGACAAGTCTTCACAACAAGTCTGGCTCTATGACGACCCTTTTCTGAGTATTCATCGTATTTCTTTCGGAATACCCATTTGCATTTAATTGTGTTGCGGTCCTTAGGGCGACCAACAAATTCCCAAGAATTATTTCTGAGAAGTGAATCATACTCTTCTTTGACGGTCATCTTCCAGTTTAAATAGGTTTAACAAGGACAAATTCGACTTTTATTTGAAATTTAATTTTGTCTAGTTCACAGTGAAATAATTTTAAGTGCTTAAATTAAATAGTTATTAAGTTATCACTTACTATTCAACAAAAGACGTGATTTACTTTAAAAAAAACACAACACAAAACCTTAATTCCCTATATGTTAATAATTATATGTTAATTGTTTTATTGATGGCTACCAAACTCATTTTTCACGAGCGATATTCCGATAAATTACTTTCCAACCAAATGTAATTTTCTTTATCGATTTATTTGTATTCAATATTATTCTTATCCAGAGAATAGTTTACCTTCATGAGTAAGGCGATGGACACAAAATTCGAGAGCCCATGATGCTCATTATTACCATTATATCTAGCTAGTCAAATCTGGATATTGTTAATTGAGAGATATTAATCAACAATTCATGTTGCTTATTTGATAAAATTCATTAATAATTTATTATCTTATTATTCAATCAAACAGCTGCAAAATCTTTCCATAATTATGTGTCTAATTTAGACTACTTCGGGAGCGAGCTGAATGATTGTCGTGGTGGAAATGTTAGAGAATCGGCAAGTAACGAGTTAGATTCAAGTCCCGATATAAATAATGAGGTAGTAAAAAAAGACGATAAGAACGAAAGATGTTAAATTATTCATGAATTATATCACCCTTCTTATTGAGGAGCTGGAAACATCATGAATTTCAACTATTTCAAATTATATCTCCAACTGCTTCAAAATGTCCTCTTTCATTTATATCGTTAACATAAGATTTATTATTGTTTGTTTTTCATAGAGCTTTCCATCGCAATTATTTTACACATTATTTAAGAATTCTTTTTTTTTTTTTTTTATTTTAACTATATCAATTCTTTAGCAAAACTGTCAGTTTAATAATAACCGATTCCATTACATAAAATCGCAAACAAAAATATATACAATTTAATTACGTGAATTTGGGGGCTGGGGTAGCCATGCGGGCTAAGGCGCTTGCAATAGGTAATCAAAGTTAAGCAACGCCGAGCGTGGTTAGCACTTGGATGGGTGACCGCCCACACCAAGGAAAGCCACGCTGCCATAGTTCCTTCCTCCCCCCTATGTGAGTCCCGTCAGCCTACTGGAGGCAACACTCACACCGACAGGGCGTAGGATTGATGACCCTCCCCCGTACTTTAAATCAATAATCAGGATGTGGCCTGCGAGACCACATCCCGCGGTCAAGGATCTTTATGGTCTGTGGAGTCAACCGAAAAAAAAAATAAATAAATAAAATAAGTGAATTTATTAATTATAAAAAAATTTAGTTGGATTTTTTCCAATTATTATCAAACAGTCATATTTCACGTTCCCAATGTATCTAAAATATGATAACTAACTTCATTAAATGATATAAAATACTATCAGTGAATAAGACAAATCTCGTATGTCTGTCATATAAGATAGTAGCGAAGTACATGCGCTATCCGTGCTGTCTGAAACAACAGTGTATCAACCACGGAATCACCACAAACTAAATTTTACCCACATTTTACAAACTGTCCCAAAGTTACCCACCCAGTCCAAAAGTTGCCCCATCTAGCGGTACTAAATACATAACTGACCTAACAAAACTATTCTATAAAACACATATTTTTATAATCAAGAAAAAAATAATTTTGCATTCAACCATACTCTTGATCATTTGAACTCAACATTAATATTCACTTTTATCGGCATATCGATCTTTCAGATTTCAGAGCAAAGAAATGAATGGGGGTATATTTTTTCACCAACATAGGGTTAATTGTTTACTTATCATCTAATAATTTAATCTAGTAAGAGCAAAAATTATATTAGCAGTTTAAGAGCTTTCTATAACCATAAATGAAGTTAGTTATTTTGTAAGGAATCATATTTTTGTTAGGCGTCATACTTGCTATGTTCTGTACTATTGATCGATGATCCAAATAATTAGTTGCCGATGAATAGATACAATTTTATAATGATGAATTTTTAAAAATATTAAAACTTTAATGAAACATTAAATAATTTAACGAGGGAAAGGAAAAAATAATTTCTAGGCATAAGATTTTAAAAAAAGAAACAGGTAAAAGTTATTGTTAATAGATACTATTTTCCTTTTTAGTCACTAAATAAAAATATAGAAAAAGTGAGAAAATTTTTAAGATTTACATAACTATTTAAAAGATATTTAAGATTTAAAAAATGCTTAGATAATGTATTTAAAAATACGTAGTATCTTATTGCGATACTGTATTGAAATTACGAACGTACTCGTATATCGATCCAGCGTCCATGTTTAATAAAAAGTCTTCTTACCATATACCTAGGTTTAAAATTCATGAGAAACAGATTGGTCCCAGATATTGAAATCTTTTTTTCCGGAATCTGAATCCTTTAGGAATGCATCGAAAGCTGTATCGGCGTTATTCGAGAATTCTGCTTATATGACAGACATACGAGATTTGTCTTATTCACTGACAGCATTGTATGTCATTTAATGAAGTTAGTTATCATATTTCAGATCCATTGGGAACGTGTATCAACATAAAATATGACTGTTTGTTTATAATTGGAAAAATTTCAACCACACAGCCTTATATCTCCAAAATGCTCCAGAATATTTCTAAGAGGAAGATATTTAAGGATACGCATATCGCACAGGAGTTGTATAATGCTGTGGATTACAGGACTGGCAGTAGAAACTGGAATAATTTTTATTTTGAAACGTTGAGCATCTTGGATAAGTCTAATAAATTTATCTCGTATTTTATCTTAATCTGCGTAGTCAGCTGTTTTTGACGGTGACCTTCTTTTGAAGTATTTTTTTTTTAAGTGAAATTGATTTTATTTTTTCTTTCTCATTATTATTACCGTGAGATGGGGTAACTTTGGGACTGAGTGGTTAACTTTGGGACAGCGGGTAAAATTAAGTTTGTGGTGATTCCATGTTGGATGCATTGTGTTGGTTCAGTCTGCAAAAACGTGCTTTGTGTAGGCATGTACTGCGCTACTACCTTGCGCCAGTTTGAAAACCCTAGTTCAATACACTCATTGTGCAGTTAGGTTCTATTTATTACCGTTGGTTTTTCTAAATTCTTGTTTTCATAAAACTTGTTCTGTTGTGGCGAAAGGTAGTAGCGCAATACATGAGCAGTCCATGCTGACTAAACCAACACAGTGTATCCATAACGGAATCACCACGAACTAAATATTACTCGCTGACCCAAAGTTACCCATCCAGTCCGCCCCCCCCCCAAAGTTACTCAATCTTATGGCATATCTTTTCATTTCGTATTTTTTTCTTTCTTTCTTTTCCTTATGTTACATATTTATGAATTTTGATTGCATATTGTCGATTTTTTCCCTTATCAGCTGTTTGATTATAACCTTCTCCTGCTGTGTTTCCTTACCTTTTTTTCAGTATGCAATTGGGTGTCATGGAGTGATGTTCGATTTGCTGTTTTTTGTCCTGTTGATATCTGAATCGGCAAAGCGATGACGTGTTTTGTTTTTTACTTTTTGCCTGCGTTTTGTAGACATAAGGCTGTGTGGTTGGAATTTTTCCAACTATAATCTGGCATTTATGTTCTGTCTGTTGTTCAGTTTTTTACTTATTTATATTAATAAAATATGACTTTGTGAATAAAAGGAATATTTAATACTTCAATTAAAAAAATTAACAATCCCAAACTTCTTTTTTTTTCTTTTTACGGAATCAATTAGTAACATATATTACTCCGGAAAAAAAAACAAGAA